AATGTCACTAACTTGTAAAAGGAGATTAGACTTAGAATTCCCCAAGATTGAAAGTGTTTGGATTGAATTCAAAATACAGAACACTACGTATCTTCTAGGCACATTCTTCAGACCCCCAAATAGTGAAAACTATGATCTATTCTGGGCCAACTTTGAACGATCTACAGAAACTGCATATGATTTCACAACCAATGTTCTTGTCGTAGGCGACCTAAACGACGACCTAACGCGTACAACAGCGATTTTACACCAAATTTTGTTAACTAATAACTTAAAGAACTGTGTTAATGAGCCCTCTAGAGTAACAAGCTCATCAGCAACCCTTATTGATGTCATACTGGCAAATGATTCCATATGTTGCGATTTCTCTGAAGTTATTGAATTTGATAAAAAATATTTCAGACCATAAAGGTGTGTGTGCCACATTCGATATAGCTGTTTCTCAGCCATTGAATTTTACCAAAAACATTTTCATTTATAAACTTGCCAATTTTGAACTATTAAACAATCTTATTAAAAATTTCGATTGGATTAATACTTTTTACAATTTAAACACAAATTCGGCATGCGAAATATTCTACAAGATTCTGAACAACTTCATTGATAAATATATACCACAGAAAAACATTACTATAAGACCCTCAGACAAAGCTTAGTTTAATTCAAATATAAGACGCCACATTCGCATTCGTAACAGGCTTAGAAAAATTGCAAAAAGATCTAAATCTGTAAATGACCTGATTAAATATAAAAAACAACGTAATAAAGTGAACAATCTTAAAGAGGTTTTAAAACAGGAGTATGAAAATAAAATCCTGGAATGTTTAAACTCCGGCAATGCTGTCTCGTCCAATAATACATATTGGAATGCCTTGAAAAAATTACTTAACCAACATGTGTCGCAAATAATACCCCCTTTAGTTTCGGAAAATGGAACTGACATGATTAGCACAGATGATGAGAAAGCTGAACTTCTCAATAATTTCTTTAGTTCAATATCCAATAACACGTCAGAGGCTAATTTACCAGTATTTGAATCTCGTACAAACTTGAAATTTCATATGTCTATAGTGACTGAGAAAACAGTTCAAGACGTGATTAAAGAATTGGAATCGAAAAAAGCAAATGGATTTGACAATATAAGCCACGCACTTTTAAAAAACACCATTGATACTATCACTATACCGTTGACGCTAATTTATAATCTTTCATTAAAAGAGGGAATATTTCCTGACGTTTGGAAAAAAGCTTTGGTGATGCCAATGTTTAAGAAAGGTGATAAGTCTCAGGTAACTAACTACAGACTAATTTCCTTGCTTAGTTCGTTAAGTAAAATTTTTGAGAAAATTGTTTTTAATGATCTATATGATTATTTTAATACTAACAATTTATTTTATAAATACCAGTCTGGTTTTAGACCTTCGTATTCTCCTGTATTTCAACTAATTGAGGTAAATTACGATGTGGTGAAAGCGATTGATGAAAAACAATTTTCTTGCTACACTTTCTGTGACATTTCCAAAGCTTTCGACAGAGTTTATCTCCGAGGTCTGATCCTTAAGTTAGAAAAATATGGCATTTGTGCAAACATATTGAGTTGGTTAAATAGTTATGTTAATGATCGTCGACAAAGTGTTATTATTCGACATCCTCTGAAAAATATGTAATATCTGGAGTACCTCAAGGCTCGATCTTGGGACCCTTTTTATTTTTGATTTACCTGAATGATGTTCACGATACTCTTCAAAATCTCTCAAGATTATTTGTAGATGATATTGCTATTGGTTGCAACAAATCCTGCATTCCAGATATTGAACATTCTATCAATTCTGATTTAGCAAAATTGCACAATCGGGCCAGGGACTGGCTAGTTAAATTTAATCGTGATAAGACCAAAGTTGTCTTGTTTACTAATAAAGTCCACTTTGAAAATCCAAATATATATTTTGGTGGTAAAAAGCTAGAAAAGTAAACTATCATAAACACTTAGGAGTTTCCTTTTCTTCCGATGCCAAATGGTCGCTTCATATTGAAAATCTTTAAAAATCAGCATCAAAATTATTAAATATTTTAAAAAGTTTAAAGTATCAATTGACACGAAAAACGCTTCTAAATATATATAAAACTTATATTTGGTCAATACTTGAGTATTGTTGTGAGGTCTGGGATGGATGTAGTCAAAGTGATAGTGAAAAACTTGAGAAACTTCAACTTGAAGCCACACGAATTATTACGGGATTACCTAAGTATGCAAGTAGACAATCCTTATATTTTGAAACGGGATTACCCCTACTAAGAAAAATAGGCGTCTTATATCATTCTTTAAAATCATAAATGGCTCGGCACCAGATTATTTATCAGATATTTTAAATGATAAACATTATAATCTCCGAAATATAAACGACATTCAAACACCCTCTTCGAGACTTAATATAGCTCTCAATTCGTTCTTTGCAACTACTGAAATATAACTTGAAAAAGAGACTTTATGTTGATAATGCCCCGAGCTTTTTCTACAATGGACCAAGACGTGAAAATATTCTTATAACCAAGATTCGTCATGGATGTAGTGAGCTAAAATCTGATCTACTCAATTATAACATAGTTGATGATGCAACATGTTCTTGTGGTCTATCAATAGAAGATGCTAATCATTTCTTTTTTCATTGTCCTTTGTATTCTGAACAACGGCAAAAATTATTCGATGATCTCATTGATCCTAGAATTATTAGTTTAAATATTTTATTATGGGGTGATCCTCGTGGTAATTATGAATTGAACTCCAAAATTCTAAATCATGCAATGCAATACATAAAACAATCACATAGGTTTGCATAAGGCCAATGTCTTCTTTTACTTCGATGATTGACTGATGCGTTGTTCCTGGTTGATGTATCGTTCTTAACGGCAGCTATATTGTATATATGTTACCTATCTCGATTCCTGTTAAATATGTTATGTGTCACTAAATTGAAATTATTGTAATGTAATCTTCCATAGCATGAAATTATTATTTGGAAAGGATTTTCCTAAGTTTATGTAACTTGCATCCCATCCATTTGTATGATCAATAAAATGTGTTAAATCAATCAGTGTATTGAAATGCCTACCGTAATTCATAGACTAGACAGGTGCTTCGATGATACTCCATGGCTTATAAAGCGTTCGATGAAGCCATCATCTCGTAGCTCGTCAGTGGAATTGTTGATGCCAATATTGTTAAAACCCAAAGCAACTTCTACTTGTTGGTGTAAATTGACATCGTTGGTGAAAGGTGATAACCATGAAATGACTGTGTTGTGGGAGTCCACAGCCAACGACTACCATTCGACTACCATCCAACAAGAAATACCATGATCAGAACGAGTTTGAAAGAATGAAGGAGATCGAGTAACTCACGCAACACCATCCAGGGCCGAGTCCAACCGCCATGTCATTGGACCCGACCAGATCTAACGAATTATCAATAACCAAAAACCTACATCAACAATATAATATCAATTACCTTTGAATAATTATAATATACAACTTTTATTAATTCATATTACCTTTAACATAAACCTACATCAACAATATAATATCAATTCCCTCTCTATGATTATAATATACAACTTTTATTAATTTATATTACCTTTAACATAAACCTACACCAACAATATAATATCAATTCTCTCTCAATAATTATAATATACAACTTTTATTAATTTATATTACCTTTAACATAAACCTACATCAACAATATTATATCAATTCCCTCTCAATAATTATAATATACAACTTTTATTAATTCATATTACCCTTAACATAAACCTACACCAACAATATAATATCAATTCTCTCTCAATAATTATAATATACAACTTTTGTTAATTTATATTACCTTTAACATAAACCTACATCAACAATATAATATCAATTCCCTCTCAATAATTATAATATACAACTTTTATTAATTTATATTACCTTTAACATAAACCTACACCAACAATATAATATCAATTCCCTCTCAATAATTATAATGTACAACTTTTATTAATTTATATTACCTTTAACATAAACCTACACCAAAAATATAATATCAATTCCCTCTCAATAATTATAATATACAACTTTTATTAATTTATATTACCTTTAATATAAACCTATACAACAATATAATATCAATTCCCTCTCAATAATTATAATATACAACTTTTATTAATTTGTATTACCTTTAACATAAACCTACATCAACAATATAATATCAATTCCCTCTCAATAATTATAATATACAACTTTTATTAATTTATATTACCTTTAACATAAACCTACATCAACAATATAATATCAATTCCCTCTCTATAATTATAATATATAACTTTTATTAATTTATATTACCTTTAACATAAACCTACACTAACAATATAATATCAATTCCCTCTCTATAATATACAACTTTTATTAATTTAAATTACCTTTAACATAAACCCACATCAACAATATAATATCAATTCTCTCTCAATAATTATAATATACAACTTTTATTAATTTATATTACCTTTAACATAAACCTACATCAACAATATAATATCAATTCCCTCTCAATAATTATAATATACAACTTTTATTAATTCATATTACCTTTAATATAAACCTAATAATAATGTAAGTTAGCGATGTGACACTCCTTTGGTTATCATCGTCTGACAGTTGATTACATTTCCTATCACGTGTATTACAATTCTAAAATATAAATCAAACATAAGATTAGTTTTAACCTGTATATTATAGTAACACAACCTAACCCTAACCCTAACACAAGTGATCTTGGACTTCTGCATTTGTTTTTAAGTCAAAATAATAATTTTTCACAATTCTTCGTGATAATTAGTGAATTAAGAAAAGGAGTTTCCTCGGTAGTTTTTATTTATTTAGTTCATCTAATTAGTCTGTTTCAATAAAATTTCTTTTTTTACAATGTTATAAATGTCTAAATTGATTTTAATAATTACCTCCTGAACTAGTTGGCTGAAATTCTTCTTCAATCGCTCCTTCATCGTCTGATTTAGATAACCATCGATTACACACAAACTCATAACGTCGACCTTTAGATGGCAAATCAATACTTACTGTACCTAAGTACCACCCGGGGCCTGGCCCGGAGTTATCATGTTCCATTTTAATTCTTTCAATCTAAAATCAGACAGTCAATAATCTACTAGTAATAGTAAATAATGTATATTAACAATGAGTGTTTCCTTGTCAACATTCAAAACAACATCAATCAACTAGAACTAAAAGGTTTAATTGGTAGTCTAGTTATTAGGGTAGAAATTTTAAACTTGAATTGTATTCTGTCAAAATATAATATCAAACAATAAAAAAAATGTTTTAGAAGAATTTTTAGATGTAAAAATTTGTTAAAAACTTAGTAACTAAAACAGATCTAAATCATAGTCAAATAGTTATAGACGTGTGGGATTTCAAAGAAACGTGCTAGTGAGAGGCATTTTTGGGTAACAGTCGGTAATCTATCTATCTAACATATTTCAGATATGATGAATCTGTAAAAACTGTTCCAAAAACAAATTACGGGTTCTGTACCTCCAGATTTTCATATCAAATATAGTCTGCTATAAGATTTACTTTTAATGCTTTTTATATTTGATATTATGCTCTGGAAATGTTTTTCGTTTCCAAGATTAACTACACTTCGTCAAAATCTCCTATGGAAAGTTAAAATCAAAATCAACGGTTGAAGGTGGTTATGATCTACATTAGCACCCAAATTTACCCACAGAGGGTCAAATATCGGACCTTTACGATATACATGTACATACAATACATTAAGAAAGACAGGGCCAAGATATGATAAAAGAAAAACAAGAAAAAACCTGCTGCAAATTTTGTAGAACATACTTTATGTTCAGTCTTTATTTCTATGGTTATCTAATTTCCTTACCTGTCCAATGACCGGAGCTGTAATTATAAAAGTATCAGTGTAGTTTCCTTCAAACGGATCAGAATGATTAAGTGATTGGTCTAGTTGTAAAGGACCGGTGTCTCCAAGACTACCGTAAATTCTCAGAGTAACGTTGGCGTCCGTCCCTGCGTAAACTAAATCTCCTGTTTTTACTTCTACTTGATAAGAGATACCTGAAAAATCAGTCAACAATTTCATATATGTTTTCATTAGAAACACTCTAAGTTTGGTAGTATTCATCTTCACAATGATCAAGATATAACATCTTCATCTTCTACAACGATCAAGATATAACATCTTCATCTTCTACAATGATCAAGATATTACATCTTCATCTTCTACAACGATCAAGATATTACATCTTCATCTTCTACAATGATCAAGATATTACATCTTCATTATCTGCAATGATCAAGATATTACATCTTTATTATCTACAATGATCAAGATATTACATCTTCATTATCTGCAATGATCAAGATATTACATCTTTATTTTCACAATGATCAAGATATTACATCTTCATTATCTACAATGATCAAGATATTACATCTTCACCTTCTACAATGATCAAGATATTACATCTTCATGTTCTACAATGATCAAGATATTACATCTTCATCTTCTACAATGATCAAGATATTACATCTTCATCTTCTACAATGATCAAGATATTACATCTTCATCTTTTACAATGATCAAGATATTACATCTTGATTTTTACAATGATCAATATATTACATCTTCAACTCTCTGGTTTACATGAGAGAGGTTGCTGCCAAAGTGGGACCTGAAAGGACACTTCCTGTCTTATGATGCTTGTAACATTGATCAGCTTTACACATCCTCTGAGCATCAGTCTAATACAATTCAAAAGGTCGTTTGCACTATTATCATTATTAATAAATAAACCAAGTACTAACAATCTGAACCGCAAAACGCAACCCGAAATACGTCGTAAATTATACACGAAAAGATTTCTGAAATTCTATTCGTTTTTCTATGTGTCCAGCCTATTTCATCAACCTGATTTAACTTTCAACGTGGTGATTAAAATAGTGACTGTACTTCGCCTATGAACACGAAATAGTTCTAGTTTCAGCACCTCCGTTGAAGATTAGGATACGTGTTCAGTAACAGTGTTTTACTAATGCTAGATGAAGTTATGGAGAAAGGTAGAACGGTGTAAATAGTTTTTAATATCAAACTTTACCTTCGGGTAAAAACGTAACCATACCAACATCTACTATTGGTGAATGTGGAAACTGATTATAAACATAGCATATCTGACGCCCTTTATGATACGCAAAACCAAAACATACGTCATCGGCTAAACAAGATTGTGCACATCGTATCCGTCCAGGTAAAACTCTATAATCATAATATCCTGAAAACAGTTGGTCATTTGAGAAAGAGAAATAAGTTTTAGTGATTATCTCAAAAGATTCACCAATTACAAATATAAACATACACCTCAACAATATCGACAACATTTTCCTCGGTTTGACTTGACGATACGAAACAATTAATTCTGAAGATAGTGACAAGACTTTTCTGCGTTAAAAGAAACATGCATCAATTTTATTATTATTGATTGCTGTACAATTTAAAAATTGTTATTTTAACTGACTTCAATGATATGAAGTAAAGAAAATGACTAAAGTATTTCAGTAGGAATTCAGAAAATAAAAAATACAGATTACATTTGTACAGTCTTCGTTGTGATTATTATTTTAAAAAGGATTGTTGTGCTCTAGTGTAGTCATATAACTCATAATTACCCAGTTCTTATCGACAATAGACTGATATAACGATTTATTAATGATTAGGTTTTCAAGAGGCTGTATTAGCAATTTAAGTCATTAGATGCTATGTATCAAGTCGAGAACATAGATAGTCTGTTGTTAGCTGCTATATATCGAGACTAAAACATAGATAGTCTGTTGTTAGCTGCTATATATCGATACGAGAACATAGATAGACTGTTGTTAGATGCTACGTATCAAGTCGAGAACATAGACTGTTGTTAGCTACTATGTATCGAGACGAGAACATAGATAGTCTGTTGTTAGCTGTTATGTATCGAGACGAGAACATAGATAGTCTGTTGTTAGCTGCTCTATATCGATACGAGAACATAGATAGTCTGTTGTTAGCTGCTATGTGTCGAGACGAGAACATAGATAGTCTGTTGTTAGCAGTTATATATCGATACGAGAACATAGATAGTCTGTTGTTAGTTGCTCTATATCGATACGAGAACATAGTTAGTCTGTTGTTAGCTGCTATGTGTCGAGACGAGAACATAGATAGTCTGTTGTTAGTTGCTATGTATCAAGTCGAGAACATTGATAGTCTGTTGTTAGCTGCTATGTGTCGAGACGAGAACATAGATAGTCTGTTGTTAGCTGCTATGTATCAAGACGAGAACATAGATAGTCTGTTGTTAGTTGCTATGTATCGAGACGAGAACATAGATAGTCTGTTGTTAGTTGCTATGTATCAAGTCGAGAACATTGATAGTCTGTTGTTAGCTGCTATGTGTCGAGACGAGAACATAGATAGTCTGTTGTTAGATGCTATGTGTCGAGACGAGAACATAGATAGTCTGTTGTTAGCTGCTCTATATCGATACGAGAACATAGATAGTCTGTTGTTAGCTGTTATGTATCGAGACGAGAACATAGATAGTATGTTGTTAGTTGCTATGTATCAAGTCGAGAACATAGATAGTCTGTTGTTAGTTGCTATATTTATCGAGACGAGAACATAGATAGTATGTTGTTAGCTGTTATGTATCGAGACGAGCACATAGATAGTCTGTTGTAAGCTGCTATGTATCAAGTCGAGAACATAGATAGTCTGTTGTTAGTTGCTATACTTATCGAGACGAGAACATAGATAGTATGTTGTTAGTTGCTATGTATCGATACGAGAACATAGATGGCCTGTTGTTAGCTGCTATGTGTCGAGACGTGAACATAGATAGTCTGTTGTTAGATGCTATGTGTCGAGACGAGAACATAGATAGTCTGTTGTTAGATGCTATGTATCAAGTCGAGAACATAGATAGTCTGTTGTTAGTTGCTATAAATCAAGTCGAGAACATAGATAGTCTGTTGTTAGCTGCTATGTAACGAGACGAGAACATAGATAGTCTGTTGTTAGCTGCTATGTATCAATACGAGAACATAGATAGTCTGTTGTTAGCTGTTATGTATCAAGTCGAGAACATAGATAGTATGTTGTTAGCTGCTATGTATCGATACGAGAACATTGATAGTCTGTTGTTAGCTGTTATGTATCAAGTCGAGAACATAGATAGTCTTTTGTTAGCTGCTATGTATCGAGACGAGAACATAGATAGTCTGTTGTTAGCTGCTATGTATCAATACGAGAACATAGATAGTCTGTTGTTAGCTGTTATGTATCAAGTCGAGAACATAGATAGTCTGTTGTTAGCTGCTATGTAACTAGACGAGAACATAAATAGCCTGTTGTTAGTTGCTATGTGTCGAGACGAGAACATAGATAGTCTGTTGTTACATGCTATGTATCAAGTCGAGAACATAGATAGTCTGTTGTTAGTTGCTATATATCAAGTCGAGAACATAGATAGTATGTTGTTAGCTGCTATGTATCGATACGAGAACATTGATAGTCTGTTGTTAGCTGTTATGTATCAAGTCGAGAACATAGATAGTCTGTTGTTAGCTGCTTTGTGTCGAGACGAGAACATAGATAGTCTGTTGTTAGCTGCTATGTGTCGAGTCGAGAACATTGATAGTATGTTGTTAGTTGCTATGTATCAAGTCGAGAACATAGATAGTCTGTTGTTAGTTGCTATATTTATCGAGAACAGAACATAGATAGTATGTTGTTAGTTGCTATGTATCGATACGAGAACATAGATAGTCTGTTATTAGTTGCTATTTATCGAGACGAGAACATAGATAATAATAATAATAAAGTTTATTCAAGTAGTATACGACTTTCGTCATGGTACAAACGTTAACAAAAATAGATTTGAATTTTCTAATAAAGAAAATGCATATAATAAAATAAATTTCAAATATAGACTAGAGCCACTCGTGGCACAGAGTGGGACTTTGCAAATGTAGCAAATTGCAAAAGACCCCGAAAAAATCAACCTTCCACGATAATTAGATCATGTGCAAGAACAGTCTAAAGTTGAGAAATTTTCATTTTTTAGAAGATTCTAATACCGGAAGTAGACGTCAGACCTCACAAATGAAAGTATCAGCAGATAGCCAAGGTCAATGACCTTTGATCTTGTAAAGGAGAAGGTCTAAAAAGGTCAAGATCAAGAGATATACGTCATCAAAATTTCTAATTGCACACGACTATAAAACCGGAAGTTGACATAGGACAGCAAATATAAAAGTATAAATAGATAGCCAATGCCAATGACGTTTGATCCTACAAAGGTCAAGGTCAACAAAGGTCAAGGTCAAAACTTGAAAATATTGAATTTCCAAAACCTGTTCCTTTTTTTGAACTATGAAGCGGAAACAACCGAACTTCTAATACAAAGTGGCTCAAAACATGAGGTAATTGTATGCAAAGTTCCATTTTGAACAAACGTGTACTTTGCGAGTTATGCCCTTGGCCAAAAATGTCAATAATGAGTAATTTAACCCGGATGTGCCACGCCCACCTCATTTATTTGATATAATTTAATTAATATTCAAAATGTTATGTCGTGTATCAAATGCCAAGGTTATACATAATACAGGTCAAAAGATATAGGTCAACAAAAGTCAACAAAGGTCAAAATCGAAAATTGAAAATATCCAAATGTTAAAACCCGTTCCTTTTTTGGAACTATAAAGCTGAAACAACTAAGCTGTTAACACAAACTGGCCAAAAGGATGATGTAATTGTGTGCAAAGTTCCTTTTTGAACAAATGTATTCTATGCAAGTTATGCCCCTTCCCAAAAATGTAAACATTTAGTAATTCAACCCGGATGTGCCACGCCCACATCAATTTATTTGTCATAGTTGAATTCATATTCAAAGTGTCTAGATGTATTCCAAATTTCAAGGTTCTACATCAAATAGGTCATAAGATATACATACACCAAGTTCAAAGAGACACAAATATTGTAAAAAAAAACCTCAAATTTGAAAAAAAATGACGAATTTCAATTTTGCTGTAAAATAACGATTGTTATATATCAATGTAAGGTGCGTGAGAAGCACATTAGGAAACCGAAAAAATTAATCCTGTAAGTTAATTATGTCACGTGCTACAGCAGTCCAAATTTGCGAATTTGTTTTTTTCGGACAGTTATAAAACCGGAAGTACATGTCGGAGGTCAAATGTCAAATTATCAAATGATAACCAAGGTCAATGACCTTTGACCCTGTAAAGGTCAAGGTCACCAAAGGTCAAGGTCACGAGATATCACTCATCAAACTTTCAAAATGCATACGACTACAAAACCGGAAGCTTACGTCCGACATCAAATATGAAAGTATAAATAGATAACCAAGGTTAATGACCATTGACCCTACAAACGTTAAGGTCATCAAAGGTCAATGTCAAAAAATGAAAATATGGAAATTCTAAAACCCGTTCCTTTTTTTGAACTATAAATCTGAAACAACTGTCCTTTAAACACAAACTGGCCAAAGAGATGAGGTATTTGTGTGCAAGGTCCCTTATTGAACAAATGTAGACTATGCAAGTTATGCCCCTGCCCCAGATTTGAACAACTAGCAATTTAACGCGGATGTGCCACGCCCATCTGAACTTTTTTGTCATGATTTAATTCATTTTCAAAATGTCTAGTAGTGTTATAAATTTCAAACTTCTACATCAAATAGGTCAAAAGATATACATACACTAAGCTCAAAAACACAAAAATATTGTAAAAAAACACTCAAATATCAAAAAAGTACGAATTTCAATTTTGATTTTAAAAACTTTTGTGATATATCGTTAGAAAGAGTATGAA